TTTTTAAATCTCTCTTATCCACCTTTTCTATTTTTTATTTTTTATAATTTCAAAAAAAGTATCTGTTTCTAAAAAAAAAAAATTGGGGTTGTAGGGACTAAAATTCCCTACAACCCCTTTTTTTTTTTTTCCTCTTATTTAATTCAGGAAAAATCTCGTAAAATCGGGTCCGCGGCGCGGACCAGGTCGGCCACGGACGCGGCCACATATGCGGCCGCCATCTGAGATCGGGCCCACGGACGCGTCCGCGGGTGTTTCACAGTCGCTCTCCCTGGGGTTCTCTTTCCGCACGTGGCATAAAATTGCGACCTCTGTTGTTTTCAGCCAGTTGTCCTTTCCCATGCGGGCAAACGGTCTCCAACCGGACACATACTTCACCGCCATCTTCCACTCCCCACCTTGGATGCATGACTTTAAAATGTCGTCATGCCAAATGATATCATGGCCCCACTTGTCCTCACTAGTGCGGCCGTATTTGTCCTCCAAGAAACACATACTGTTTGGGTCCACACAAAAGTTGGGAGGAATCGGATTGCCTGGCGCCAGCTTCGTTGCCTCATCAGGAATATCAATCTCATCGTCTTCATCGTCTTCGATAGGCGTACACTCAACCTGGTCCACCATCGGGGCTATACTGCTCGTGGGTGACGGGTTCGAGCATCCCTCTGATCGACCCGGTCCATATTCCCTGCCGTCGCGCTCCATGGCAGCGGATTGCCCACGCCACGCGGCTGCATTGGTGTCGTTTTCAATCTCTATTTCGGAGTCCGATGAGTCTTCCTCGCTGTCGACGAGGTTAAAACCTTCACCCGATTTAGCGAGGTTTGCATTGTCCTTGAACGTCAGTTGATCTTTGTGAAGATCAAACTTCAAGATCCCGCATCGAGCAACGAATTTCTCGAAGGCGCCAGTCAGAGCACGGTGATAATGTTTGAGGGCATTTGTCACCTTGGCTTTCTTATATATATATCTCCCATCAAGACGTCCCTCCGGCGCATCGCGGAACAGGTATTCCCACACCTTCAGTCTCTTCGGTCCCAGCTTGTGGTACATGTCCCTGTTGTTGCGATGTGTGGAACGCGGCTTCTCGAGTCGGCAGTTGAATCTGTCATCCTTGACAAGTATGTCGATGAACTTTGTGAAGTATGCAATGTCCTTGGCCGACTCGTCACAGGCAATGACATTATCACCTGCAAGCATGAACTCCCACACAATACTCGTGTGCGCCCTACCCAGCAAAAGGACACCTTCCGCCTCTCCAACGAATGAAGTGCACAATTTCCGCAACTTGTCGGGTTCTCGCTCCCAAATCGAATACGCAACACTTTCGTCGCCTTCGACGTCACCGTGTTTCCCTTGACACTTCTCGAACTTATCCTCCACAACATGCACTTCTGTGAGAGCATTGAGAAGTCGGGTTGCGACGGTTACGTTTTTTAGATCCCCTCCCTCAGCGTGCAGTACGATGGTCATGAAGTCCCGGCTCGTCGTAGCGATGTTGTCGTACCTTGTGACGTCACTCGATGACCTGTCCACCCGTTTCCAGGACCCAGGGATGAGTTCGACGTCCTCCCATCAGAACAAGTGACTCAAGACATCGCTTTGCACCTTGTGCTGTGCAAAGAAGAAGACTTAGAAAAGGACTCAATTCGGACCACAACACTTCGTCATCGTTGTGTACAGTGCATCGAAGTCTTGCGAGGTCCATGCACTGCTGAAATTTGTGATCGAGATGTCCACGATGGCGGCCCTACATGCCATTTTTTACGCGGAGGCGACGATGTCGTCGGACGCTGTCATAACTTCCTTTGACCCTATGCACACAGGAAGCAATGTGGTTTGCCTGCCGAGTTTGTCCCAAACAAGATGACGTGCACTGGAGGCAATCCGTTTCACCTCCGCTCGAAGTAAATCGAGCTTATCGATGACGGTGTATATGAACACCTTGAAGTGAAACGAAGCCTTCTTGTACATTACTTTTGTAGGTCCCAAGCCCGCACCTTGCCTTGCCTCCTCCACTCCTCCAAGTTGACGAGGGACCGTCTTCACTTTGTTGCTATGCAGTTTCTCCCATTCCTTCTCCGATTCACCTGCGCATAGCCCGTTCGGTGCATACCTCTCTTCCAGGTCCTTGTACGACATGAAGAAGTCGTCGTTCCACTCTTCATCTGCCCTTCCCTTGGTGCGGAACACGACATAGTTGAACATGCGGACCGTGTATCTCTCTTTGCGCATAATGTCGAGGAGGCACTCTGTGTTCACCCTCGAAGGCGTGACTTTGACATTTGTTGCAACCACTTTCTCCTTCATGAGCAGGAGTACCGTGACTTCTCTCTCGGGGCATATCATAGCCTCGAAGTTTTTGAAGTACGAAGGACACAAATCGTTCCAGGACACGGTGGAGCCTTTGGGACCATCTCTCGCATATATGCAGTGGTACAACGACCTTCGTCCCCTTGATCTCATCTTTGTACGGACCTGGCAGGCGCCCCTCCATCCTCCCCGGCATGTCAAGCGAAATTTTGCCATCGCCGATTGGCAGCTTACCTTCCTCGAACGTTGCGAAGAACCTCTCCACCAGTGGTTAGACTGCGACGATGGACAGGACAAGGTTCATGTACCCCCGGAGTTTATTACTCAAATCCTTATTGTATTCATTGTCGAGCGCCTGTTTCACAAACGTTTTGTCGCACGCCTTCCCCATGCAGACCCTCATGAAGTTTTGCCACTTTTTCTGGTGCGCAACGGCGACGACATCCTTCTCGCTGACCTTAGCTTTGAGAGCCTCGATTCTGTTGTTATCGATCCACCATTGCCTCATATTAGGCACAGCGTCTTGGAAGGACAACATCATGGCACGATTCTCACGTGTGTTGTTGTTGGCGGAGGCACTGAAGTACCCTCGTATCTGGTCATCTTCGAAAAATACGACTCACACTTTAGAGTACGCTTTGAGGCCATAGACTTTGACCGCGGCGGAGTCCTTTGCCACCAACCGTTTTATGTCCTCAGCGGTATGCTGACCACAAACAACATACCAGTCGAACTCTGCGGAGTCCCTTTGGAAGAACTCGTCAGGCGTGATTCGCCTTCCCTGTCCGTCGACGACGCCGTTCGGGTCAACTGGAGCAAGAATGAGCTCAGGTCTATCCCACGCCCCCGGGTCGGCAGTGATGGAGCTTTCTATGACATTCTCGATGACTCTCACAATCTTCTCAGACAACGAGCGATGGTTATGAAGGATCCTCCCACGGGGATTGCGTTTGATTCTTCTGACGGCGACGTTAACAACATGGACGTCTTGCCTGGCAAAGCCTTGCTCGTCGTATTCGAGAAAGAAACATCGTGTTGTGTCAAGGGGCGTGGTGCGCTGAACCAGCTCGTCAACATCTTCGGGCATGCGAGGCGCCACCCCCTCGCCCTCATCCCCAGAGTCCCGCAGCTCTTGTGTCCTGACCCTCTGCGAGCCTTTCCTACCACCGCCACGGCCGCTGCCACGACTGCCACTTCGTCCCCCCCCCCCCAGTTTTCTGAGGAGCCCGCACTTCCTGGGATGTCGTCAACGCTCAGCGAGCCTCATTGACGGCATTAGTCCTCGCTTGTTTCGTTTGGCTCGCAGGAGAGGTCGACGCTTCTCCCCTCTTTCTCTTTCCCCGTGATCCATGTTTGTCTCTCTCATCCTTCGCCTGGTTATACGACTGCGACATTCCATGGGAGATCGCAGGCTGGCCACCAACACCATCCGCGTCACCGACTCCGTAGGCGTCATCCTCACAGCACGCCCGCGAATTGTTACCGAGTCGGCGCTCACATTGGGAGAAGCGATTGTCTTCGACGTCCTCACCACCAACGTCTCTCTCCTCGTTCATGTCATTATCCTCACCTTCAGCATCTTCTTCGTTACCATCGACCCCCTCTTCACCACCGCCCTCCCCCTCTTGGCCCTCGCATTCCTCCTCGTCAAAGGCACTTGTACCTCCCCGGGAACGATGTTGGGGACTAGCCAGGTGGCGCAGAGCTCCGTCGTCGTAGTCTGTGGCCTCGCTGGACTGCTCGGCCGCATCGCGACCTTGTCGAGCGGAGGGCAAAACCGGAGTGGGAAGAGTCTGGGCAACCGCATTCGACGAAAGCAGGCCAGTCGCCGATTGTTTCCTCTTCGCACCCGCTCTGGCCGGCTGATCTTGGCGCCGTTTGGGCCCCGCGTCAATGGGCACGAAAACACAGTCAACTTACTAGGCAGCAGGCAACCTCACAAATTGTTCCCTGTATCGCATAACGACAAACACCAGTTGGTCTGTCGGGCTGTTGAACTGGCCCAAAGGTCTGCTGATCATGAAAGTGTTGTCGACAACGGGCAGGGATCCAGTGACGCGGTAGCCATTGGTTTTGGACAGGAACTGTTCCGGAGGCAGCATTCGGAACTCCGTTCCGTTTCCGCGCACATCAAACGCTTTCATCGAGAAAACCTTGACCCCGTAGCCTTGGAAGAGTCGAAGGTCGAGAGACACCTTCTTGTCTTCCTTGACCCAGTTCTTCCCCTCGCCATCATAGACTGATGTAAGGAAGAAGGTCATGAACTTCTTGCCGTCGTAGTTAGTCCTCCCCGTTTCTGATTTCTCCACACCTCTGCAACAGTACCAACTCCCGTCTTTGTCATCGCTCAAGAACACGACGGCTCCACAACAGGATGTATGACGACCACCAACCCAGTCAAGAGCCCAGGGTTTGTCGTTGTAGAGCGTAGACCTGTCGTATGCACGTTTGTCAGGGATGGAAGTCACATGAAGGGAGCCACGGGGGGGGAAAAAAAAAGACAACAAGAGAAAGGGATTGAGTGACATGAAGGAGCAATTGTTGCCTTGAAGACCACAACACGGGTCCCCGTTCCTGAAGGTGGGGGTCCGCCATGGCACAACGGGCGCGGGGGTCCGGCATCAACGCCGGACCCCTCGACGCTGTGGACGACATGAGGTTCGTCGGACCCCCTCCGTCTCCCACACCGCTGAGGGGGTCCAGCGTTCCCAGAACGCCGGACCCCCACGCCCGTCGCGCGTTGACCCCCTCGACGTTTTGGGCGACACGGGGGTTCGTCGGACCCCCTCCGTCTGCCGCACCGCCGAAGAGGTCCGGCGTTCCCAGAACGCCGAACCCCCACGTGCGACGGGCGTGGGGGTCCGGCGTTCAGGGAACGCCTGACCCCCTCGACGCTTTGGGCGACACGGGGGTTCATCGGACCCCCTCCCTCTCCTGCACCGCTAGGGGGTCCGGCGTATTCTTAACCCCGGACCCCCTCAACGTTTTCGGCGACACAGGGTTTCGCCAGACCCCCTCGGCATTCAGGGAACGCGCGAATGGCTAGGGGGTCCGGCGTATCCTTAACCCCGGACCCTGTCACGAACGACAAAGGGATCCGGCGGATCCCGAATGCCCACGCTCTCACGAATGGCCAAGGGATCCGGCGTTCTGGATCCGTCGGACCCCCTTGTCATTCGTGACAGCGTATGGGGTTCACCATCGCCCGGATCCCCTACCCAGTCGTTAGGGTGTCCGGCGTATCCAGAACGCCGGATCCCCTGGCCATTCCAGAGAGGGTTCGACGGATCAGAAACGCCGGACCCTCTCATGAATGGTTAGGGGATCCGACATTCTGGATACGTCGGATCCCTTGCCCATTCGCGAGAGGGTAAGGTATGTGGGGTCCACTGGATCCCCTTGGCCAATCGTGAGAGGGTCCGGCGTCCTGGATCCGCCGGACCCCCTTACGACGAATCCTGGCATTTCCCACGTGCCATTTCCCACTTTTTCAATCATGGCATTTGCCATTTTCTTGCAATTTTCAATGAAAACTGTTTTTTTTAAAAAGGGAGAGGGAGATCAACCCCCCTCGCGTATGCGATCGCAGTTCCTACATGCCAATCACGACCTTTCCTAATCATGGCATTTCCAATTTTCTTGCATTTTTCAATGATAACTAAAAAAAAAAGAAGGGAGAGGGAGATCGACTCCCTCCCGTGTGTGATCGCAGTTCCTATTGCCAATCATTACCTTTTCCCACGTGGCATTTCTAATTTTCTCGCATTTTTCAATTGATAACTCAAAAAAATAAGGGGAGAGGGAGATCAACCCCACTCCGCTATGCGATCGCAGTTCCTACATGCCAATCTTGCCCTTTTCCCACGTGCCATTTCCCACTTTTCCAATCATGGCATTTGCCATTTTCCCGCAATTTTCAATGAAAACGTAAAAAAAAAAAAGGAGAGGGAGATCAACCCCCCTCCCGTATGAGATCGCAGTTCCTATATGCCAATCATGATCTTTTCCAATCATGGCATTTCACATTTTCTCGCATTTTTCAATGAAAACTAAAAAAAAAAAAAAGGGAGAGGGAGATCGACCCCCTCCCCTGTATGATCGCAGTTCCTATTGCCAATNGATCGCAGTTCCTATTGCCAATCATTACCTTTTCCCACGTGACATCTCCCATTTTCTCGCATTTTTCAATGAAAACTTAAAAAAAAAAAAAGGGAGAGGAAGATCAACCCCCTCCCCTGTGCGATCGCAGTTCCCGCATGTCAATCATGACCTTTTCCCACGTGGCATTTCCCACTTTTCCAAACATGGCATTTCCCCTTATCTCGCATTTTGTTAATGAAAACTCGAAAAAAGAAAGGGAGAGGCAGATCAACCCCACTCCCCTATGCCATTGCAGTTCCTACATGCCAATCTTGCCCTTTTCCCAAGTGTCATTTCCCACTTTTCCAATCATGGCATTTGCCATTTTCTCGCAATTTTCAACGAAAACTT